TCACATGACCAACACAGTCTTACCTGTAAACACTTGCTTTGGACAAGGATAACAACAGAAGCACTCGTCCGTGTTTTCCCAAAATAGCCCCTAAAGGTGGTTTACTGAGAAATTCACGCTTTTTAAGTTCTATATTCGGAATCAGCGCTATGAAAAGGCCTGTTTAACATGAAAATATAGAAGTCGAAAATCTGCCTGGACGCTGCCTTTAAGTCACGAGTAGGAATGTGTTGATAGGCTGCTTCGTAATGTGGTCGCTTAAACGCATAGAAGCCCTCACTTTAGTGATGTGGCTATACAATACCGCTCTCAGAACGTGCAAAATTTCCGTGAATGTCGCGGACCTGGCGGTATTGTAGCTTTTGGAAAGGACTGATATTAATTGGGAGGATCAAAATTGGACCATAATTAATGAAACATTGAGGCTAAGAATTGTGGAATTATATGCAGTTTTACATGCTCGATGAAATATGACTCCGGCTAGGTGAAAAGCATTCAACTTGGATGCAGGCAATTGGAGAAGGGAAGAATTTTACTCCCGACGGTGCGGATATCGATACCAATATCGCACTCACCTCTCTCCACCATTCATTGCAAACAGTCGAAACAAATCAAAACCCTTCGATAATGATCATGAATGATTTACTCAATAACAAGTTTGAAACGTTTGGGAAGATTCATTCATGAATCAAAATTACGATGGAGGTCTCCTACATCAAGATAAGTAATCCAAAAGGAATGATGTTCAACGTGGAAATCACAGTGGACGAAGATAAGCAAGGAGTTCGAAAATTATAGTCTGACGATGAACAGGACCCAGATTAGTCACTAAGTTTGAAAATCAGTAAAAATTATCTTTTTTTACTAAGCATTTGGGATTAACCTAGTTGAAACAAAAACTATCAAACGAATCTGAACTTATCAATTTTATATAGAAAGATGAGTTATTTCAACTTAGCCATCCTTCGTTACTGAAGAGTTCCGGGGATGGCATAGAAACAACACAATACTCCGTCAAAGGATAGGGAACGAAACGAAGTTCTCAATTTATAATATTATAATTATGAACACTATTATCTATTAATTATTTTTACTACTAGCAGGCATACCCGGCTACACCCAGGTTACTTCTTTGAAGTCAGTAATTTATCAATGTTCAACTAGCTCTACTTGCTATGATCTCTATGACCAACACAAAATGATTGCTTGCGAATTTAACGTTAATCTAAATTTGGTGGCAGTAATTTTTGAAAGTAGCTCAAATCTATAGTCAAAATCACATGGTAAAAGCTCAGCGGTATGAATGGAATAAGGGTACAGATCACATTGCGGACTACAATAGTTCCATCTATTTTTGCTACTTTAACATTTCTATTGGGATTTTCTGAAAAGGGGTGTTTATTTACTTAACAGGTTTCTCGGGTACTACGAATGTAATTGTAAGCATAGTGGAATGGGAGTAATCAGCATATCACTCACAATAAGAACATTTTCATCGCTCCATCCTCTAATCGGTTGATTTTTATCCATTTTCAATGCTTCTTCACAGAAAATTCAACATTGCCTTCATTTTCTGCTCCGCGAAGTGGACTGTGACAAAAATGAGGGTAACCCAGAATTTGTTTCTTCATATCGCCGCTACAGTTCAAAAATTTTTCAATATTTCAACGTATTACGACAAAGTTTCTCCAATCATATAATCGAACGTATTTTGTATATGACTGTCATCAATGCTGTTGTTTTTGAGGCCGCTTAGATTCGCAACAGCAAATCCAATGCCTTTGACTTACAGGGCTTATCAATTGTATTGTCTCTTGCACCAGCGCCTCCGCTCTCGCACAGGGCCTGCACTTCTTCTGCTAACATGCTCTCTAATCATTTGCAATCTATTGAGGCTCCGTCTTTCTCACGCGCGCGATGGGAAAGTGATCAGAAAGCATGTTCGCGAAAGAGGCGCAGCAGGCGAGGCGGCCGCGCGAAAGTTGAGAGCTGGTGCACCTGACGCTGCAGTTGATAAGAATTGTACATGCAGAAATAGAAGACATTTAGAATTGGCGCTCATAGTTTACGGAAGGATGCTATACACCTCAACGTAAGCGCTTACTTCATTTTTGAACATATAAAAGAACCTACTTGAATTACACTTCTCACTGCGCTTTGCATGCCAAAAACTCAGAAGGATCATGCCGCTAATCTTCACTCTCACTTGGACAAATGAGTTGATAAGCCCTTCATTTCCTAGATTTACGTAAACAAATCAATAAATCGATAGAAGGACCCAGCGAGTCCTCGCAAAAAGTAGCCTATCTTCTGCGCCTGGTCTCATTTATAGGGGAACAAATTTTAGCCTCATCGGTTTACAAACAAAGGAGTCTATAGGCCACATACTTACATACGAACAAATTTACAGAGATTCGGTTTTATATATACAGGGTGTCCCAAAAAAATGTATCGAACGTTTGATCGTTAAAATCTCTCTTCTAAAGAAGTCTTTTCTCTTGCTTCAGGTATCAATCTGTAGAGCTGGCTTCAACTTACATTTGCATTATAGAAAGGATCACTCATTTATCTTCATTACTGTAGGATTACGGTAGAAACTTCTTAGAGGGTTTTAAACAATAAAAGGCCATATTTTGCCTTAGAAAGGAAACAAAACAGTTTGAAATCTTTTATGCTAGGTTAATCAGAACTGCTGATTATAACTGTAAAGTTTCCAACTTATTGTGATGCTTCATTGAAGAGTTATGCCAGGTAAGAGGTAGCGGCCATTTTTTCAATGTTCCTAAAAAGTGCGATTACACCGTTTAGAAAGCTTCGTAATCTTGTGAATAGTTGAGTATTGAACTCAGCGTCCATAAAAACCCTATTATACAAGTTTTCACAATTTTTTGAAAAATTTTGAAACGGCAGCTTTTTCGACATTGACACCATATGTTTCAAGTTTCTACCGTAATCCTACAGTAATGAAGAGAGATGGGTGATGCGTTCTATAATGCAAATCTAAGCTGAAGCCAGCTCTACAAAACGGTACCTAAAGCAAGGCAAAAGACTTCTTGGGAAGAGAGTTATTAACGATCAAACGTTCGATACATTTTTTTGGGTCACCTTGTATATATATATATATATATATATATATATACCAGTGCGTCACCTCTGCTTCGCAGAGGTTCGCACTGGCTCTACTATCTATGTGCCTTACTCATTCTCGTAAAATCGTGGCACTGGAACTCACCGCGCTATGCCGACTACCACGAATAAAATGTAACCAACCACTCATTTAGAAAGTCTTTTCACGTGAGATCGGTGATTTCGCGTGGATGAAACTTTTCGCAGGAAGACAGACGCAAATTTGAATAGGTTTTTGGATTTGTCATGGCTTGGTAGTCGCCATAAAGGTAATGATAACCGTGAGCTACATCTCTGTGCGAAAATCTTCTCAAACGCTTGGCTAGAACCTTGGCAAGTTGACCATTTACACAACCAATTCATTTTGGCGCCGTTTTCGTTATGTAGTAAACTTTCGACCACTTTTCTGGCTAAACTCCATCGCTTGCACATTTGCTTACCAAACTCATCCACGACTCCGCAAAAAGTGGTGATACGGACCGAATTTTGCGGTACAGAAGCCAGGTGGACCCGTTTGGCGCGCAATTTTTAACGGATCCACTCGACGGATTTGCACGCGCTTTTGTATATTGGACTTTCATGCTGCTAGCATGCGCCGTGCAAAATTTGGGCTCAGGAGGTTGGCTGGAACATGTTCTACGAATTTCGTAACGGACAGACACACAGACACACAAAAAGACGTAAACAACCCTTAGCCCGTTATTATAAGTCATGATATATATGTACCAGTGCGTCACCTCTGCTTTGCAGAGGCTCGCACTGGCTCTACTATCCACATGCCTTCCTCGTAGTCGCAAAATGATGGCTTTGAAACTTACCTCGCGATGCCGATCATCACGAATGAAATGTAAACAGCTACTCATTCCAAAAGTTTTTCATGTAAGATCGGTGATTTTGAAAGGGCGAAAGTATTCTCCAAAAGATTAAATGCGAATTTGAATCAGTCACTGGGATTATAATGGCTTGATAGTCGCCATAAAGATGATGACAACCGTGAGTTACATCTCTGAGCAAAAATTTTCTCACATTCAAAGATAAAGCCTTGACAAATCAATCATCTGCGCAGTTATTCCTTTTTGGCGCCGATCTTGCATGAAAGTAAACTTTTTGCTCACTTTTTGGGCTGGAGTCCATGGTTTGCGGATTTACTTGCTAAACGAAACCATGATTTTGAAAAAAGCACATTTACAGGCCCACTTTGGCGCGCGAAATGTTGCGTGGATCCGTTTGGCGCGCTATTTCACAGGTTCCAGTAGTCGGATCGGCTTGTGCTTTTCCATATTTTACCTATATGCTGATAGGGTGCTACTACCAAAATTCTAGCTCAGGACCTTTGATGGAACTCACTCTACGAATTTCGTGACAGACAGAAATTCACACACACACACACACACACACACACACACACACACACACACACACACACACACACACACACACACACACACACACACACACACACACACACACACACACACACACACACACACACACACACACACACACACACACACACACACACACACACACACAAACGTAAACAACCCTTAGCCCGTTATTATAAGTTATGATAGATTCCTGAAAAAATGCTCGTATTTTTTTATTCTAAAGTTTGTGCACATATTGAGTTCTACGTATAGCTAAAGTAGTGAGTGCAACACGTAGAACGTTTAGATTATGAGAGCAGTTGCAAGACCTAGTTTCCAACCTAATAAAAAAAAGCAATCGTAATTTGCTTCAACTAATCTAGGTAAAGTCAGTCCTCACGATTATTATCTAAAGACCGGCAAAAGACTTTGTGAGAAAGCACTAACGATAGATATTGCATAGATATCGTTAGCAACCCGTATATATAGCATATGAAATGTTCTTACTGAAGAAAACCATTGATGGCAAGAAGTTTTAGCATTTCCGGACTCCTCGCCACTGCAGTTAACGTCTCGTTCTTTTGTGTCGGTGGTGTATCTATCTTTTTGCACGCGCTGACATCGATTTCAGCCTTATTCCATCTGTAAGATTGCGTTAATCGTGTAAGTGTAATTCATGTTGTATTTACCTGTTTGATGTTTTTATGTACTCCTCTATTTGCTGATAGTTTTCTTGTTGAATCAACCAATGTGGCGACTCCGGAAGTAGACTGTAATAAATGACCCGTTTACAATGAAGTCATTGATGCAAGGAAATCTCGAAGAGATTTCATTATGGGGAGCTGCATCAGGATTTTCTCGCTGCTGAAAAGAATAAGGGAGCAGCATCCCCCGCTACAAAGAATTTTACGCCTAGAATCCTAAGCGTCGCAGTCTGCTCACTTTAAAAAATTTTCAGTTTTCTATTTTAACACTCTACTCACAAGTAATAAACGATTGTTACAATTCCAGGAGCTGCACACACAAAATACATCGAACGCCATTCTTTCATAAACAATGATAGGATACCTACCCACAACATTCCAAAAACCCAAGCTGAAAACACTGCGTTGCATCCGGTCACTGTCAAAAGAAGATTTTATGTGTATTTTTGCAAGCAGCAAATAACACGCTGTTCTTCCTTATTTCGTTACAGTATTACACAACCGCATTTTACATACAGCTCCCTGTTCTCTGTCAAAAAAAAAGATAAAAAAAAAGTTTTTGTTAAGTGCGGCCATTGAAGAGAAAGCCAGGAACCTAGGCTGTGATAGGGGAAAGGAGGAGTGGTATCGTTGAATTATCGATTACGATAGCGTCCGCCTAGAAACCCGCCTTCTTAATTTAGTAATTTCTTGCAAACTTTGAACCGTCCATTAGGAGAAAATAATATGCTGACAAAACAATGAACGCTTATTACTTTGGATGATATTCATCAAAGTCCTAACTTTTGCACCTTTCCTGAAACATGCAAATTGGCACACAGGATGGCTCAGTGAGGAGGCTGTGGATATGTTTGTTGTGGGATTTTCTCGAATTTCGACTTACTTATAAGAAAGACGCAACACTGACCATCTAAAATGAGACGCACATTGCTGAGGTAGTGAAAGTCATAGATTTGGCATCCATGTATGATTAATTCTTTCAACAAGAAGTGTACAGTTATAAACAAAACACAACGTGTGGGAATATCCAAATGCAATTGTTTGTGCTTAAATCTTTTCGAAAACCACAGTCCTTATCTGCGATTTCTTTTGGGGAGTGACAGTTTTGATAATATAAATATAAACGGAAATTCACCGATGCTCGACTACGCAAGTGCAGTGCTTATACATCAGGTGTATTTACATGGTCGAAACTGTTAGTCTTGAAAAGTCTCTCGCGGATAAGGAGTGCGGTTTTTGAGAAGGCTAACTTAAAATCGAATAAAGCATTTGAAAATTGAAACTTGAGAGTTTTTTTTAAATAATATTCGAAAACTCGAATGATCAAAGAGCGGATTTTGAATAAAACTCGAAAACTCGAACAAAAACGGGGTTTCGAATGAATTTTATAAACGATCAACTTCCAGTGCATGAAGTTGAACATAAGCTTCAATTCGAAAGCTGCTTTTCTTGCTTTTGATGCGAATAGCAATGCAACAATCAGATTGATCAAAACCAATCAGCTAATATCCACGTCCAGTCTATTTTTTCGCTGTCGCAAGTAGTTGAAAGAATGCGAGTTCTCATACAGTTCAAAGGTCTTCAAAAAGATGCACTATCGAGTGTTGCAGAAAAAAGCACACGAAAAAGCTTGATAACTTCGCGGTTGAATCTGCACTAATCTCGAATAATTCGAATACGAATTCGAATATTCGAATAAAACATCCAAATATGATTGTCATGAGGGTAAGCACAACATAAAGATTCACATCAATTGCTTTATTTCTAAATCGCTCAGTAATGGGAAGTAAAATATGACGTTTTGCTAATGTACGGACTAGTTTCCAACCAACCAACTTTATTGAGTTTTTAAAAACTTTCAATATGGGACTGGAAGTTGGTACAGGGGGTAAGTGAGGGCCCTGTTATTGATAGCAATCTACTTTATTGATTTTATCGAGTATTGAAAACTTTAAGGGGCTGGGAATTGGTACAGAGGGGGTAAATGAGGGCTAATTGTAAGTAAAAACCTACTTTATCGATTCTACCCATTTTTGGAAATCTTTGAGCTATGGAGAGCTGTAGGCAGAGGTGGGTGAGGGTGCCGATTATCAATTACTAGCTGGCTTACCCGGCTCCGCCGTATCCGAACCAAACTTGGCACACATACACTTCGGGCCCGGCGGGTGTCACAGTCCACTTTTCGTTATCGATCGATGTCGATTTTACCGATTTTTATCGATTTTTTTGCAGAGTTCACCTACAGGGCTAGGAGTTGGCACAGGGGGGAAGTGAGCATGGGGATTCCGAATACAATATTAGTTTTCAGAATTATCGATTACTTTTATTGATTTTATCGATTTTTTGTAAATTTTGACATGCGAGGCTGGGATTTTGCACAGGGGGTAATCGAGCATGCTGATTACGAACACAATATTAGTTTTCAGGATCGTCCATTACTTTTATCGATTTTATCGATTTTTTTTGTAAAGTTTGACCTGCGGGGCTGGGAGTTTGCACAGGGGGGTAATCGAGCATGCAGATTACGAACACAATATTAGTTTTCAAGATCGTCCATTACTTTTATCGATTTTATCGATTTTTTGAAAATTTGAGCTAGGGGACTGGAATTTGGCACAGGGGTGTAATCTAGCATGCTGATCACCCCCCTTGGGGATGATCAGCATGCTCGATTACCCCCCTGTGCCAACTCTCAGCCCCCTAGCTCAAACTTTGCAAAAAAATCGATAAAATCGATAAAAGTAATCGATAATCCTGAAAACCAATATTGTATTCGGAATCCCCATGCTCGATTACCCTCCTGTGCCAACTCCCAGCCCCGTAGCTCAAACTTTGCAAAAAAATCGATAAAATCGATAAAAGTAATCGATAATCCTGAAAACCAATATTGTATTCGGAATCCCCATGCTCGATTACCCCCCTGTGCCAACTCCCAGCCCCGTAGGTGAACTCAGCAAAAAATCGATAAAAATCGATAAAATCGATATCGATCGATGACGAAAAGTAGCCTATGACACCCGCCCGGCCCCGAAGGGTATGTGTGCCAAGTTTGGTCCGGATCGGTTAAGAAATAAAATTTTCTATTCGGAACATACGTACATACATACAGACATACAGACATACATACAGACATACATACAGACAAACAGACATTCAGCTTTATATATAAGATTTGGCTTCATCCGGGTACGTGAGCAAGTTTTGCATATGGTTGCTCAAAATCTTATATATAAAGCTGAATGTCTGTTTGTCTGTATGTATGTATGTCTGTATGTATGTACGTATGTTCCGAATAGAAAATTCTATTTCTGAACCGATCCGGACCAAACTTGGCACACATACGCTACGGGCCCCGGCGGGTGTCATAGGCTACTTTTCGTCATCGACCGATATCGATTTTATCAATTTTTATCGATTTTTTTGCTGAGTTCACCTACGGGGCTGGGAGTTGGCACAGGGGGTAATCGAGCATGGGGATTCCAAATACAATATTGGTTTTCAGGATTATCGATTACTTTTATCGATTTTATCGATTTTTTTTGCAAAGTTTGAGCTACGGGGCTGGGAGTTTGCGCTGGGGGGTAATCGAGCATGGGGATTCCGAATACAATATTGGTTTTCAGGATTATCGATTACTTTTATCGATTTTATCGATTTTTTTGCAAAGTTTGAGATACGGGGCTGGGAGTTTGCACTGGGGGGTAATCGAGCATGGGGATTCCGAATACAATATTAGTTTTCGGGATTATCGATTACTTTTATCGATTTTATCGATTTTTTGCAAAGTTTGAGCTAGGGGGCTGGGAGTTGGCACAGGGGGGTAATCGAGCATGCTGATCATCCCCAAGGGGGTGATCAGCATGCTCGATTACCCCCCTGTGCCAACTCCCAGCCCGTAGCTCAAATTTTGCAAAAAATCGATAAAATCGATATCGATCGATGACGAAAAGTAGCCTATGACACCCGCCGGGGCCCGTAGTGTATGTGTACCAAGTTTGGTCCGGATCCGGAAAAGTAATGGACGATCTCGAAAACTAATATTGTATTCGTAATCTGCATGCTCGATTACCCCCCCTGTGCAAACTCCCAGCCCCGCAGGTCAAACTTTACAAAAAAATCGATAAAATCGATAAAAGTAATGGACGATCCTGAAAACTAATATTGTGTTCGTAATCAGCATGCTCGATTACCCCCCTGTGCAAAATCCCATCCTCGCATGTCAAAATTTACAAAAAATCGATAAAATCAATAAAAGTAATCGATAATTCTGAAAACTAATATTGTATTCGGAATCCCCATGCTCACTTCCCCCCCCCCTGTGCCAACTCCTAGCCCTGTAGGTGAACTCTGCAAAAAAATCGATAAAAATCGGTAAAATCGACATCGATCGATAACGAAAAGTGGACTGTTACACCCGCCGGGGCCCGAAGTGTATGTGTGCCAAGTTCCGGATACGGCGGAGCCGGGTAAGCCAGCTAGTATTCAATAAATCATTCGAATATATCTCGAAATTTGACTCTCAATGTGTATTATCGATATTCATTCATTCGCTGTTTTTGACTTTTATTCGAACTTCGTTTATTCGAAAATTTTCTACAATATTCTGGACATCGATATTCGCTTGATCATTTTTTGAACTTATTCGATATTCATTCATTCAATGGAAAATCTCAAAGCTCCTTAAGCATAGTCGCTTGGTCGCGAAATTTTTTGGTGTGTTCAGGTTGCTCATTTAGAAAAAACAGATGCGTATTGTACTCGGAAAAGTAGGATACCAAAAAAACCAACAAGTTGATGTCGATCCGTAGAACAGCCAAGACATTCGTTCCACGCGAGCAGATATGCAAATTTTGGCTTACACTCCCAAGGGATTTCCTCTATGCATACATACAGATAAACAGCTAGAAAGATTAAACTCTAGGTCGACTGAACCAAAGTTAGTGGCTTTTCAAGACCGTAGCTCACTTCTTTTCCGATGTGCTTCCAAGTCTTATTTCATTGACTCAAAACTAAATGAGCAGTCATAGTACTAGTACCTTAACCGCATTTTATGCCATACAGAGATATAAAGCTTTGCAAGGTTGTGAGGGTAGCACCGGCTGCGGACATTGCTCGCAAAGGAAGCCATAAGGTTTGAAACATTCGAACAAGCGAGATCACCCGCGCACTGTCAAAACGTTTTACTTGAGTGAAAGATGACATTTGATGGCGAGCATTCGATACTAGAAAAAAAACTGAGAAAGTTTTGCTGGCGTGAGCAATGACCGCAAGCTCACTAACTTCAAAGTCAGGAAGAGCCTTATAGAGAGGGAAGAAAAAGATTCCGAGATAGTCAGTTGCTTGACTCTATGTCTTGCTTTGCTATGAGTAAAGTTTGTGCTGAGCAAGCGTCTCTACGGATGGTAGTTATTATCAGAAGAAAAAACCGATAAAAATGTTTTTGTTTCTTATTGTTTTCTCAAGAATAGTACCGCAGTCAAGTAATATTTTTCTTCTTTTCTTGTTCTTCTATCTTTGTCTGTTTTTGTCGATTTTCCTATTTACATAAGATAGCTAAGGAGTTCTGACATGGTTCACAGATCTACCACAAAGAATAAGTTACACTTTTGGGGCAAATACCTACAGTGCGATTTTGTCCAGTATATAACATTTGAGATACGACAACTCCCTCAAGAGGAGCGACATTATGCATGTGAGTTGGACCAATAACATTTTGGCTTCTTCAGCAAAGCGCTGACTACGTCGCGTTCTTTGCGCTCGCAGCTTCAATTTCCCGCGAATTAAATGTGTCAAAGCATGAATCCTTTATTATGGCATGATCTTTTCACCGTTAAAAATCTGAATAAAGTGGTCTGGTTCAACAATCAGTGAAAAAGCCTCTAATTCCTTTTTTGCAACCACATCGAGATTCTCACTACGGATGCCATTTAGTCGAAGGGCCTTACCATATGACACCTGTAGCACTTTGTAGAGCACTGAACGATAATCCCAAACCTGTCTTTCTTTTTTGAGAAACAACTTCCCGTAAGAAAACTATCATTATTTAGAATCTATATTTGTCAGTCCCTAAGCACAAACCATACATTATCCACTCCACTTGCCAAGTCAGTGAACTGGCCAATAGAGAAGTACATTAAGTGGATCAACCGGTCAAGTGGATCATGCATGGCGCGTTCAAAGGCACCGTCCACCCTAAGTTGAGCGTGTTGAGCTTTTGGCAGCATATAATAGTAGGGCCTCCTAACAATCCAATGCCGAAGTCGCGACGATAAATGCCGCTTCGAAAGAGAGAAAATCGCTTTGGAATAGCGGAGATGCACGAGGACCCCCATCCATGCCCGCCCATTTGTGCGCGTCCATCCAATCACCGTTCCGAAAAGCCGGCCTGTGGGTTCTCCGAAACGGGGATTGTCGGCGTTTTCGCGCATTCTCGACTTCATATTCGGAATCAGGGACATGAGAAGGCCCTGAAACGACAAAAACGTGGAAGTCGAAAATCTGGGTAGACGGTGCCTTTAAGCGGCAGAATTTATACAAAAATACCTGTACGCTTCCATAAGCTGTGCTCCTTTCCTGTAATCAATATACTTGATACAAATTCGCATACCGACTTTTAGCTGCTTTTTACAGCTTTCCGCTTACTCATGTCGTTTACAGCATAACAATTTTTAGGACTATCAATGAATCATAACTTTTTTCGTAAAGTTGTTCCAAAAAAAACCAAATTTGAAAATAGCGTTCAAAGACGAGCCCAGTGATACAGGTATCGTATGGAAAGGCTTCCCTTCTCAGATGACATTTGAGATATCTCTGTTTGTTAATTTCTGTTCGATACCTCCAACCAACAAAGATCGAATATGTGAAAGAGAAGTTCTACATTTAGCATACGTATGTGGTAAATTACGCTTTCACATAATTCTGTCGCGTGATGTATTTTGATGACTTGAGAAAGCCATTTCTTTTTCCGCAAGCGTATTATACTTCTCGAATTGTGATATAAGAGTTTCTGTGTATAACAGCTTATAAACCTATTGTCGCAATCAGAGTAATCCAAGCTCGGCTTGCAGAAGGAATCATCTCGCATGTAATGACAGTACAGAGCGAATAAAAAGTCTAAATAATTTGATATTACTGAGAAATGCGCATGCGTATGAACTTACATCACTAGAGGCACCAATTATAAATCGAAGAGAAACGAACATCAAATAATTTGGAGCAAAAGAAGCGAGAATATGACAAACAAAACTGAATAAAAGGTTTGATTAAAAACACGTTGATAAAAGAGCTTTTCTTTTTGCTTGTGAAATACCACGATTATTCCGAGTTTTATGTGCTAGAAAAGACTTACGATAAAGTAAGTGAAAGGAGCACCAATGGTCTTCTTCCATATCGATCTGCTAAGGATGACAGTATAGGCACAACAACAATTGCCCCTTAACTATGAATTTGGCACATGTTGAAAATATGACATTGCACTTCATAGTTTGGAACCCTCCCACGTCTTAAATTCGACACCCACTTCAACGCTATTGACAAATTTTAAACTAACACTGGAGGGATCTTAATACATTGACGAGCACAATCTAACTCTATTCTATGAGGCATCTCCGCACAAAAGCAATTGTAAATAAAACAACACTGATTAAAGCCAAGTGTGCTTGGCACATGAGCAAGATGAATGTTGTTTGATAATGTATAGAGGGTATGAAAGATGCTCACTGATACATGTGTACTCTATATACTAATATATATGCTAATATATATAATAATATAATATATATAATAATATATATATAATAATATATATATACTAATATATATACAGGGTGTCCCAAAAAAATGTATCGAATGTTTGATCGTTAATATCTCTCTTTTAAAAGAGTTTTTTCTCTTGCTTCAGGTACCAATCTGTAGAGCTGGCTTCAACTTAGATTTGCATTATAGAACGGATCACTCATCTCTCTTCATTACTGTAGGATTACGATAGAAACTTCAAAAAGGGTTTTAAGCAATGAAAGGCCATATTTTGCCTCAGAAAAGAAACAAAACAGCCTGAAAACTTTTACACTAGGCTAATTAGAGTTGCTGATTATAACTGTAAAGTTTCCAACTTATTATGATGTTTAATTGAAGAGTTATGCCAGGTAAGGGGTAGCGGCCATTTTTTCAATGTTCCTAAAAAGTGCAGTTACACCGTTTAGAAAGCTTCGCAATCCTGAGAATAGTTGAGTATTGAACTCAGCGTCCATAAAAACCCCAATACACAAATTTTCACAATTTTTTGAAAAATTTTGAAACGGCAGCTTTTTCCACATTGACACCATATGTTTCAAGTTTCTACCGTAATCCCACAGTAATGAAGAGAGACGGGTGATTCGTTTCATAATGCGAATCTAAGTTGAAGCCAGCACTACAAAACGGTACCTGAAGCAAGGCAAAAGACTTCTTGGGAAGAGAGATATTAACGATCAAACGTTCGATACATTTTTTTGGGACACCCTGTATACTATTAGGTTGATGCAAAAGGAATGGCCGATTTGCGAATTCTCACTTTGATGTGCTATAACTTTCTAAAAGATCAACATTTCTGAATACGGTAAAGACCACCAGAAGCAGCAAACCTTTCGCAACACAGCGCATACTTATTTTTACTCAAACCATGAACGGGAAGAGAAATACGGACTAAAAGACAAAAAAGGTGCTTCTGCGGGAACCTTGTTTTTGACAACTCATAACTTCCTTCAAAGTTTCTTAATATCATAACTTATAATAACGGGCTAAGGGTTGTTTACGTTTGTGTGTGTGTGTGTGTGTGTGTGAATTTCTGTCTGCCACGAAATTCGTAGAGCGGGTTCCAGCAAAGGTCTTGAGCTAGAATTTTGGTAGTAGCACCCTATCAGCATGTAGGTAAAATGTGCAAAAGCACAAGCCGATCCGATAATTGGAACATGTGAAATTGTGCGCCAAACGGATCCACGCGACATTTCGCGAGCCAAAGTAGGCCTGTAATTGGACTTTTTCCAAAGTCATGGTTTCGTTTAGCAAGCCAATCTACAAACCATGGACTCCAGCCCGAAAAGTGAGCAAAAAGTTTACTTCCCTGCAAGATCAGCGCCAAAAAGGAGTAATTGCGTAGATGATCGATTTGTCAAAGTTTTACTTAAGAATGTGAGAAAATTTTTGCTCAGTGATGTCACTCACGGTTGTCATCATCTTTATGGCGACTATCAAGCCATTATAACCCCAGTAACTGATTCAGAATCGCACTTAATCTTTTGGAGAGTACTCTCTTTCCCTCAAATTCACCAATCTTACATGAAAAAGCTTTAGGAATGGGTAGTTGTTTACACCTCATTCGTGATGATCGGCATCGCTAGGTAACTTTCAAAGCCATTACTTTGGAACCACGAGGAAGGCGTGTAAATAGTAGAGCCAGTGCGAGCCTCTGCGAAGCAGAGGTGACGCACTGGTGAATTATAAGTGGCCTATCTTGTAGCTGCAAGCCAGTAGTACAAAATATAAGAAAAAGAGTTCGGGCAAAAAAAGTTTGCGAGGAAGAAAAAATTGAAACTTAAAATTTCTCAGTTTTTCTTCAGTGTGCCTCAAAGTCCGGAATATAGAATTTTCTGATTTTTTTACGTGCTGAACAGCTGGATGTTTGTGCAAAAACTGCTAATAAATGTCCTAGCTCTACGCTTACGGAATTGAGCAAAGTTTCGGCGACTGACTTCCTCAGAAGAAAATTATGGGTTATAAAATGACCGTAGTAGCTATCCATGTTTAGGCGCCGATATCTCAGTCTGGATAACTTCAAAGAATGCAGTTAAGTATGCATAATTTAGAGAATTTCTATTACATACAACAGCTAAATTCTCGAAGAAATCCCATCGATACGCGCTTGAATTCTGGCCGGAAAAGTGAATGCAATGAAATTCTGAATTTGGATGCAGTTATTTGAAGCTCAGTAACTTTATAAGAGATGAGGATGAGAGCCCGTTTCAAGCATCTTTAGATAGAGCATGAATACAGTTTCGCGGCAATATACTACATCCGCTGTAAAGAAGAAGTATTGATGGAAAAAAGTTGCCCTGAAAAAAGGCTTGGAAAATCGGCCATTTCTTTTGCATCAACCTAATAATACTCCTCAACTCTCACAACATTTGAAAAACAAGATGAGCGAGTTAAACTCACAGATCTTCTTAGACGACGTAGGTTGGGCATCGTCTGCTTTCAGGAGATGACTGGAAGGGGGAGAAGTCACTGGTATAAGAGATGGCTTCGAGCTTTTATACAAAAGAGCAAGTAACAGCAGGAGCGGCTTAGAGATATTTCGAGAAACAGAATAACCGCTGTGGATTGACTGACTGATCGACTCATGAGCAGTGTCGAGCAAGAAGTGTGGCACACAAGCGCCGGGTACGACCACCCCCTCTTCTGCTTCACTATCTTCCCCATACCCCACCAACATTATTGTTTGCTTTCCGTAGGCATGACATAGAAGCTCTACCAGGCATAATTAGGCACATATCCGTAATTACCACATCAAAAAATCCTCTATGACCAAGTTTTAGCAAATTTTGAGGGTTTCCAATAGTGGGCCATCCAAGTGGTAGTCATTTTCAAGTATGGTTAACTATATTTCAAGAGTAATTAGCTAAATCTTTTTGTACTCAACACAAAGCACTGCTCCCTAATTGCCCACACCTAAATTTTGCCTCAAATAACCATCAAATTATGGAATTAGTAGCAGGTCAAATTCTCGTTTGTCCCGTTATCCGCTTTCAATGGCTGCGCTCTCACTAGCTTTCACTCAAAGCGAAAAAGACGGATCAAGCCCAAATTACTTCTTAGAAACTACAAGACTATGGCTATCAAGCCGTATACAATATGTTTGATAAAACTCTATTTGGAGGTAAGTTCATGGGGTGTGGCATAACCCCAGAAAAGCTGTGGCCGCCATTAACTTACGTTCAAAGCAATCAAACCTCTGCCTTTTATAAGGTTGTCAGAGGGGGCGGATCATTGACCTACCAATCTTCAGTGGCGGGAAGAAAAGCCCGCGATGACCCTTTCGGCAGGATATAAACACTGGGAGTCAGGGGGAGGTCTCAGACTGCGCAGAAGCGCTAGCGGGAGCTAAATCCGTCGAAGGCGGATTTCCCCCTTAGATAGAGTTTATCCAGTAAGCCTGCCGAAGAGGTCAAATGAGCTAGTTCAAGTTACACGTTCTTGATTCTTGTTGTTCGTTGCCGTATTCTGAGATAAACTATTAGTCGTTCGATCCGTGTAATCTATCGATCCGGTTGAAACCGTCATACCACTAACCCCCGGTTACATGGTTGCTAATGCCAAACCTTCTTCTCCGCATAGCAGTAATTTCATGCAAAATTGTTTATTCTAGGGAAACATGTAGTCGTTTTTCCTTAGCTATGCAAATGGAAAACACTGCCAACATATTGGATTACAGTATTATGCTAAATCTGCGCTACTTCATGAATCGCGAGGGAAGGCGGCAAGAACAACTATATTAGCCTAATCCTAGTAACTTTCACAAAAGTGATCTGAGCCGGATTGGTCTTCTCTAGTCTTAGATATTAAAAGCGAAATATGAGACAAGCGAGAGTTTGGCTTGCTCTCAATTCCCGAAGGCTTTTTGAAGTGGAATTCCTAATAAAAACAAAGAAGTAGTAGTATTATGTACTGAAGGAAGAAAAAAGTAGTTTACTCACCTCTGAAACAAGTTAACATGTTCGAAAGTTCACTTGAGTGTCTTAATATTTGGACACCTCAAAATTCGCTCAAACTTGGCCCACAGGGGTCATTCGACAAAAATTAAAAAAAACGAAAACACGAAAATGATGCTCTTTTGCTTTTAGGATTTTTGGTTATGTTTACTGTACGTGTACAACGGTAGGTCAAAACACCAGCACTAGAAATTTGCACAATGGGCCCATCAGATTGTTGACTGAGATCATGTCGCTATCACTATCATTTCGATAACGATCCCCTCCCTCCCTTACCCCTCTACGACCCCCAGTGTGGCATGCCACATCTCTCGCTCGAACCTGCTCATGAGCATTAGGGTAGGAAGCAAATTCCGCGATCAATCACTGTTAGTGCCACAAGCAGATTGCGATAAGATTGAGCAGTATATATTCTGAAAAGATCTCGACGCCATCAGAACAGTGCCATTAGAAGACGTGCTTCTAATTAGAGCAGACCCCAATGAATGTGTAAACAACGAAGAGATGCATGGAGATCTCACGTAGACCACGAATAAGGTTTACGAAGGAGAGGGGAACCTAAAGTTCGCTAAGGTCACATTTTGGCCTTGGCGATACGTACTGCAAAGAGAGAAGCAATCACCTCATTATATGTGCTAGTGAAGGCCGAGCATCACAATTTTCTGGGCAGTACGGCAAAATGAGCTTAAGTATGTGGATATAGGAGAACCATTCCAAGCAAAAAAACTGCCTACGACAGTACAGGTCACATCTATCTAATCTGAGCTCTCTATTCGACAAGCAAATCAGAGCAACGCAAAATAAAGAGCACGTATCAAATGGAAGAAGCTCAAAGGCTACATTTGCACCGAAGCGTGATGGTATTTACTCTGTCAAAAATAGGAAACGATCCAAAACAGTCTTGGACGCATCTGAAGGATCACTATACACCTGTAGCCTACTGCGGCGCATGAAACCCGAGAAGAGAGTTTCAATAAGGGAACTCAATGGTGGCTGACAAAATACAGCTCATCATCATGATTTGTAATAACGGGCTAAGGGCGTTCACGTGTTTTTGTGTGTGTGTGTGTCTATGTCTGTCTGTAATTTACAGAACGAGTCGCAAACAAGGTATCAAGCCGCAGTTTTTTGCACAACACACACTGCCAACATCTAGATTCACCATGCAAAAGCACGAGCGGATCAATTGAGTAGGTCTCTCAAAAAGTGCACCCCAAATGAATCTTCTCAACTTCCGGCGCGCAAAATTGAATCCGTATCACCACTTTTTCCGAAGTTGTGGTCATGTTTGGCAAGTTGATGTGCAATCCATGAAGTTTAGCCCAAAAAAGTGACCAAAAGTCTATCTCTACGAAAACGGCGCCAAAGCAAATTGGTTCTGTGAATGGCGGGCTTGCCACGGTTTTACATGATCATTCTAGGGAATTTTTGCACAGGGATGTAGGTCATGATGGATATTATCTTTATGGTACCAACGTGACTACCAAGCCATGAAAACAGTTCAAAAGTGTTCTAAATCTACATTTGTTCTCCATCTTCCAGAGTTTCATACACACAAAATACCGATCTTACACGAAAAAGCATTCGGAATGAATAGTTGTTTACGATCTCTTCGGCAGGCTTTGCACGGTGAGTTCCAATGTCATGTTATGCGAGAATGAGTGAGGCATACAGATAAGAGAACCAGTGCGAGCCTCTGCGAAACAGAGTTGACGCATTGGTGAAGAATAAGAAGGCAGCTCACAGAAATTGGCAAAAAGCCTGAACAAATCACCGAAAGTACCTACTCGTGAAATATGCGCAAAAGAGAAGCGTTAGAGAAGCGAGGGAAACGTAGGAGTTGCACAGGAAGCTGCACAGCGAAAGAGCAAGAGAATACGGATTGCCAGAAGCAGAGCAAATGCTACACAAGACTTAGAACACTGTTACTGTACCGAAGATGCCAAAGGTGAAAAGGAAAAATACTGAAGAGACGAGTGAATGACGAGCACACTTCGCTGGAGTATCCGCGAGCTATGATTGTACATCTACGACACCACCGGACCAGTTTAGGGACAAGTAATCGCGGAAGAGGAATTGCACTGCGAGATTGAAGACGAAGAGCAGCAAGGCAACAGGCCCAGATGACTTCACAGAGTTGTGGAAATATTGTGAAGAAACTAGGGTTTGGTAAGTGACAAGAATTCTCAACCAGGGCCCGGCACATGTCCGTTTCTAGGCTTTTCGTAAACAAAGTCCTACGACTGTTGGTGAATCCCCGTATACTCACTTAGTAATTGAAACCATTTACCTGCTGCGAGCTGAAAATTTCGTGATTTCAGGGTAAATTCTCAAAGAATAATCACAAAATTTTGCTTCATAAAGTTCTACATGGCACAGAACAAATCAAGATAGATCACGAGCAGAAAAAAGGAAGAAAGAAGAATGAAAGAAATTATCAAAATATTTTAAAAAAGGCTAAAACTGAAAAGGGAAAGGAAGCAGAATAGTTGAGGCTGGGGCGCGATATATAACAAGGCGATTTTCGAAAAAAAGAGGGTAAAAACGGTGGAGAGGGGGTGATATGAAACTATTTGTATGCTCAGGTATCGATCCTTGACCGGGGCATCCGTCCATGCTAAAGAAGTCCAAACTCATGTGAAGTGACGGAAGTATCTGCTCCAGACAATCTCAGTTTCCAAGATCAGACTGTCTGGTGACCGTCTGCATCTTGGAAAGTTTTCAAATATTTCTACATGATTTCTCTGCAAATTGTTTTCTATGTATATAGTTCATTTTTGGTGTTATATGATTCTGTGTGCGCTGTAAACAATCAAATTGTTTGTTTTAGCCTTGCTTTGAAATTGCGCGCACTTTTCGCCATACACGATAGAGCATGTCGATCGTGTGGTAACCTTCCGGAAAGGCTTGCGTTTGATTAACTGGTGCTTCTCTTTGATGTTCGGCCCCGACTCCGCAAAAACGATATCCGCTTTGCTTTTTGCTCCAAAAACGAAATCTAGTCTGTCTCCAAACGATCTGTGCCGGGTTCTATTCTCAACTATAAAATAGCAAAATCCAAGCCCATGCTAAGCGACTAGTACAAAAGCACGACGGTACCACTGTTGATAAAGAAGGACGAGGTAGCTGACTTCTTAGGACCATTGTACCAACCCTGAAAATCGTCGAACTACTAGAGACGCAATTACGAAGTACGATAGAGCTGGCACCAAACCACGCGGATTCGCGAAAGGATGTGGTACTGCAGATGTCATCCATACAATCAAGATAATGACGTCTTAGACTTGGAAAAGGCATTCACAAAGTCCGCATAACACAATATGGAAGACTTTGCGAAAGCACATGAGAAGGAAGGAAGAAAGCACCAGGAGCTGCACTACCGAATTAGGACTTAGCTCCAAAAACGGACAGTGTCAAAAACAGATACAAGAATTGTCGTGTGAGCATTTTATAAACACCATTTATTAGTTTTATTACAGTATTCGTTGGCGGTAAGTTGTGAAATGAGGCCTAGCGCCTTCCACTTAAGGCTGCGTTCACACTGATCCCGAAATCCGGGAACAGTCCCAGCACAATGCTCGAATTGAGCGTTGTGCTGGAACTGTTCCCGAACTTCGGGATCAGTATGAACGCAGCCTAAGAGTTAGAATCTAAATCTCAGTGAAAAATAAAAATGTTTTTGCTATTATGTCTTCGCATAGACCGATCGTCTTGTACATAGTTT